CTTGTGCATAAACTGTGCTGTACAAATAAACTCTCCTTGCCTTGCCTTAAATGACGTCTGCTGTTGTGAATGAGCACTATACAAAAACACACTGAAATGAATTGGTTACACCCACATTACAGACTATTTGAAAATACTTACTGTACATAATAGCAGTGTCCCATGGTCAGAAATATACATAATTGACTTAAAAATTACATACAAATCAGCTTTAACCCTTTCATCTTTTCCTTTTTGGTAGATCACTTTTTGAGTCACTAAATCCACTCACTGGGTTTTAGTTTGGGCACTTTTTCTCTCAAACTGCATCTGGAACATTTGCAAAAAAAATTCTACAAGGAGAGAATGTTAAAGGGTCAAAGATCGCACTGCTCTATCCATTTTAGAAACAAGATTCAGATTCATTTATTTGCCATTTGCAGTAAAACCACATTGGAATACATTAGCAAAAGTCCCCAGTGTGCACCAGACATGTACAGACATAAAACAGCATTAAAAGTATCGTAAACAATTGTCACTGTGAAATATATCGGCTAAAACAGCTTCAATACAAGTGCAAGAACATTAAAGTGCTCTGTTCAAACTGATGACAGCTCGGGGGAAGAAGCTGTTTGCATATCGAGAAGGAAGAAGCTGGAACATGGCTTTTCCATGGGCCAGAAGAGTCATTGATTATTCTAAGTGCTCGGTTTAAAAGTCTGGATTTATACAGGACCTCCAGAACAGGAAGCTCACAACCCACAGTCCTCTCTCTGGTCTCTCTCTGGTCTCTCTCTGGTGTCTCTCTGGTCTCTCTCTGGTCTCTCTCTGGTCTTTCTCTGGTCTCTCTCTGGTCTTTCTCTGGTCTCTCTCTCTAGTCTCTCTCAGGCCTCTCTCTGGTCTCTCTCTGGTGTCTCTCTTGTCTCTCTCTGGTCTCTCTCTTGTCTTTCTCTGGTCTCTCTCTGGTCTCTCTCTAGTCTCCCTCTGGTCTCTCTCTGGTCTTTCTCTGGTCTTTCTCTGGTCTCTCTCTCTAGTCTCTCTCAGGCCTCCCTCTGGTCTCTCTCTAGTCTCTCTCTAGTCTCTCTCTAGTCTCTCTCTGGTCTCTCTCTGGTCTCTCTCTGGTCTCTCTCTAGTCTCTCTCTGGTCTCTCTCTAGTCTCTCTCTAGTCTCTCTCTCTAGTCTCTCTCTCTCTAGTCTCTCTCTGGTCTCTCTCTGGTCTCTCTCTGGTCTCTCTCTAGTCTCTCTCTAGTCTCTCTCTAGTCTCTCTCTAGTCTCTCTCTGGTCTCTCTCTGGTCTCTCTCTGGTCTCTCTCTGGTCTCTCTCTGGTCTCTCTCTAGTCTCTCTCTAGTCTCTCTCTAGCATCTCTCTAGTCTCTCTCTAGTCTCTCTCTGGTCTCTCTCTGGTCTCTCTCTGGTCTCTCTCTGGTCTTTCTCTAGTCTCTCTCAGGCCTCTCTCTGGTCTCTCTCTAGTCTCTCTCTCTAGTCTTTCTCTGGTCTTTCTCTGGTCTCTCTCTCTAGTCTCTCTCAGGCCTCTCTCTGGTCTCTCTCTGGTCTCTCTCTGGTCTCTCTCTGGTCTCTCTCTAGTCTCTCTCTAGTCTCTCTTTGGTCTCTCTCTGGTCTCTCTCTGGCCTCTCTCTGGTCTCTCTCTGGCCTCTCTCTGGTCTATCTCTAGTCTCTCTCTAGTCTCTCTTTGGTCTCTCTCTGGTCTCTCTCTGGTCTCTCTCTCTGGTCTCTCTCTGGTCTCTCTCTGGTCTCTCTCTGGTCTCTCTCTGGTCTCTCTCTGGTCTCTCTCTGGTCTCTCTCTAGTCTCTGGTCTCTCTCTGGTCTCTCTCTGGTCTCTCTCTGGTCTCTCTCTAGTCTCTCTCTAGTCTCTCTCTAGTCTCTCTCTCTAGTCTCTCTCTGGTCTTTCTCTGGTATTTCTCTGGTCTCTCTCTCTAGTCTCTCTCAGGCCTCTCTCTGGTCTCTCTCTGGTCTCTCTCTGGTCTCTCTCTCTAGTCTCTCTCAGGCCTCTCTCTGGTCTCTCTCTGGTCTCTCTCTTGTATCTCTCTAGTCTCTCTCTGGTCTCTCTCTGGTCTCTCTCTGGTCTCCTTCCTTTGTCTGTGATGTCACCAAACCACACAGTCACAGAACCAACAAGAAGCAAACTTTCATTGGTGCAGCAATAAAACTTAAGCAGAATCTTAGAGTTAGCAAGTTAACAAGCGAGAGCTGTGTTATTATTGGCTGCTGTGTCTTTAGTGGCCCTTCTCTGATTGGCCGGTTTAACCCCAGGCCTCTCCATAAAATCTTTCCCTCTCACACATAAAACCGGGGTCAAGTAAAGGAACTACCAACCTCATTCAGTTTGTCCCCCCCCCCCCCCCCCCCCCCTCTCTCTCCTCTCTCTCTCTCTCTCTCTCTCTCTCTCTCTCTCTCTCTCTCTCTCTCTCTGTGGGTTGCCTTGGTAATTAAAGCAGAAAGGGAGGGGTAATGTGTCTATTATAGTTTGGTGCAATGATGCGTGCCTAAACCAGGGAAGCGCTGGAGCAAAAGGAGAATAGTAAAAGAGGGACCCGGGGGGGGGGGGTCGGGGGTAGACGACTCCACGTGTTCCAGCTCTGGGTGGATTAGAGCACATGTTATGGAGAGAGCATTACATCACTGGTCTGCCGCAGCCTGGGTCTCTCATTCAGACAGACCATTGCAGCAGAAAGGCACGCGGGAGATGCTGAATGTGTAGCCCGGAGGTGAAGGACGGTAGCACCTGTTGTCATGGGAACAACATCACGTGACTTTGTTTACCCACGGGAGAAAAGAGTGACATATGTGCAGAGCTGTTATGTAACGGAGGCTAAAAATAGACAGAAGACACGGGATTTTTGGTATTGATTGGTTTGATGTTGTTTTGGTTTCTATAATGAGTGTTGCGTTTTGTTTGTAGGAATGGGTTTTGTGAGTGTGGTATAGAATCTACCAAAATAGATAGGTTGATAGGCAGGCAGGCAGTAGAACCAGGACTGAGGCTGTAGAACCAGGACTGAGGCTGTAGAACCAGGACTGAGGCTGTAGAACCAGGACTGAGGCTGTAGAACCAGGACTGAGGCTGTAGAACCAGGACTGAGGCTGTAGAACCAGGACTGAGGCTGTAGAACCAGGACTGAGGCTGTAGATCCAGGACTGAGGCTGTAGATCCAGGACTGAGGCTGTAGATCCAGGACTGAGGCTGTAGAACCAGGTCTGAGGCTGTAAATCCAGGACTGAGGCTGTAGATCCAGGACTGAGGCTGTAGAACCAGGACTGAGGCTACAGAACCAGGACTGAGGCTGTAGAACCAGGTCTGAGGCTGTAAATCCAGGACTGAGGCTGTAGAACCAGGTCTGAGGCTGTAGATCCAGGACTGAGGCTGTAGAACCAGGACTGAGGCTGCAGAACCAGGACTGAGGCTGTAGATCCAGGACTGAGGCTGTAGACCCAGGACTGAGGCTGTAGAACCAGGACTGAGGCTGCAGAACCAGGACTGAGGCTGTAGATCCAGGACTGAGGCTGTAGACCCAAGACTGAGGCTGTAGACCCAGGACTGAGGCTGTAGAACCAGGTCTGAGGCTGTAAATCCAGGACTGAGGCAGGACTGGGGGGGGCAGGGGTGGAGGGGGTTACAGCCCACGGGTTCAGAGACAGGGCATGGCTTACGGCTGCCAAAAGATAGTTGCTACAAGATGGGGGGCCCCTCATTCTCTGTCCCGTCGACAGTGGATCTTGTCATTTGTCGACTTTGCATATTTGGAACTCTTGTATAGGAGGATTTTACTAAACCGTTGACTTCGCCAACACAGATTAGAGAATCAAACAGTTCCAACACAAGAAATGCAATGATAAAAAAACACATTGGTCCATAAGAGACAGAGACTAAGGTCTATAAATGTCTACCAATGTCTCTAAATGTCTATAAATGTCTCTAAATGTGTATAAATGTGTATAAAAGTTGTTGAGTGTTGAGTGTCCTGGATCATCACCACTGGCCTCAGACGCTCCTACAGTATAAATAAGTTCGGTATCTTTATGTTAGACAGGACTATAGCAATGTTACACTTGTTTAGCTGTTAAGAAGTGGATGTAGGATACTTGGCTCAACTTCAGTCACAAACACAGACTTAAATACTCGTCCCTTGTTTACCCCTTTAATGCATCGAGCCCTTTAAAGTGCACTGCAGTGGGCACAAAGCGGCCTCTGCAGCTCCGGATGATTTAGTAGAAACAGCGGCTCTTTTCCCAGCTCCCTGAGGAGACGCACAAAGACACAGGCCTCTCTCCCACACCCTGAGGATGAACACACAGGAGTCTGAACACCGACGTGTGCTGCAGAGTCTGACGACAACAGCCCAAAAACATATGTCAAAAAACACCATGGATGGATGGGTGGGTGGTTGGATGGTTGGGTGGTTGGATGGGTGGGTGGGTGGATGGTTGGATGGTTGGATGGTTGGGTGGGTGGATGGATTGATGGGTGGGTGGTTGGATGGTTGGATGGGTGGGTGGATGGGTGGATGGTTGGATGGGTGGGTGGGTGGATTGGGTGGGTGGTTGGATGGTTGGATGGTTGGATGGTTGGATGGGTGGATGGATGGATGGATGGGTGGATGGTTGGATGGTTGGATGGGTGGGTGGATGGTTGGATGGTTGGATGGGTGGGTGGGTGGATTGGGTGGGTGGTTGGATGGTTGGATGGTTGGATGGGTGGATGGATGGATGGATGGGTGGATGGTTGGATGGTTGGATGGGTGGATGGATGGGTGGGTGGGTGGATGGATGGTTGGATGGATGGGTGGATGGTTGGATGGATGGATGGGTGGGTGGGTGGATAAAAAAAGAGTTTAAAAAGTTGATTCTCTGAGTTGGTGAATCCAGCGCAGAGACCTGAGAACTGGACTAACGCGATGGTACTTCCTGGTTCTAGTCAGGACTCGAGCTAAAGTACTGAGGCTGTTGTTATTTGTTTGAGATGGAGATAAGGAAGTACAGTGTTGACATTTCTGAGTCATGACATCACTCTTTCAGCTCCTGTTGTGACTGCAGCGTCTCTCCCTTCCTCTCGCAGCTCCACCCTCTGCTGTAAACAAACAGACGCTGGAGGAGTCCATAAGACGGGCCGGGTCCACGCCAGGTCCACGCCGGGTCCACGCTCTGAGCACATTCCTGCTTCTGTGGCTGCATTAGACCCTTTCACTGTACATGACCTCTGCTCCCAAACTACAGACTCCTCTGAGGCCAGTGACAGAAGAGGAACTTCTGAACAGACCAAGACAGCATTGAATCAACAAATCTAATCCATTATCTATATACAGAAATAAGCATAAAACAACCAAAATACTACATAAAAAGATTCAAACAATACAAAAAACAATATAGATGACCTCACAACTCAGGGGTGTTAAAACCCAGAGAACTTAAAACATTGACAAATAAAAATATATGTATATTTTGGCCTCTCCAAGCTCTTTCCAAGAAGTCTGCATGAGCTAAAATGTGTTATAATAATTAACCAACAGAACATTATGGTCTGATTTGTTCACAAAATGTCACTTTTACGAGACTCTTTCTGCGTGGACGTTAAAACACATTACATAAAACACAAAAACAAAGAGTAGGGTGAGATTCTTAAATAATCCTGTCGCAATATGAAGACGAAAAGCCAAAAAAACTCGGCACGGTGGCTGAGTGGATAGCACTCTCGCTTCTCAGCAAGAAGGTCCTGGGTTCGAATCCCGGTCGGACCAGGGCCTTTCTGAGTGGAGTTTGCATGTTCTCCCCGTGTCTGCGTAGGTTTCCTCCGGGTACTCCGGTTTCCCCTACCACTAAAAATATGTCCAATAGTTCTAACATGCGCCTCCTGTACTGGCCCCTCCCATCTCTGTGTGGAGTGAGAGACAAATGCCCAAAATTAACAATTGTAAACCGCTTTGAGACTCAGATCTGCAGTGAAAAGGCGGTATATAAATAAAATAAAGATTACTTATTACTGCAACATTTCAAGAGAATATACAAAATTGCTCGTCCCCATTTCAAGTAAGTAATGTTTATTTATATAGTGCATTTTACAGACCATGAAGGCTTTTGTTTTAGCTGCAGGTCTGAGTGTCTCTGTGGGAGTGGAGTGGCGTTTGTCCTCTGCTGATCCACGGCTTTCTAAAGAGACCAGAGAAAGAAACAGCTCAAGGCTCAAGGAGTCGAGGTTCTGAATGAATGGACTCTGACAAAGGCACACGTGAACAACACAACCTCCACCAGCGTTTTCACCGACTGTAAATATGATCTCTGCTGTTCAAACTAATGTGCCACCACTGTTGCCTTCTGTGGGATTTTTCAAAATGGCGGCAGGGAAAGAAAATGTGGAAAAACTTTGCCGCACTAGCCCTAATCATTTAACAAGTGCATTCAAAAGTCCACAGCGGCTAAATGTAAATGTGCTCTTTATTGTCCCTGTAGAGAAATTCCTCCTCTGCATTTGACCCGTCCTGATGCCACTAGGGCGTCTATCAGAAGCAGTGGTCACCATAGTAACAGCACCCGGGACCCATCCCCAGATGTTGATGCTCGGTTTGGTCAGGACCAGAGCTGGAGGATTTGTATCTATCGTGCATGTTTTTAGTGGTAGGGGAAACCGAAACACCTGGAGGAAATCTACGCAGACACAGGGAGAACATGCAAACTCCACTCAGAAAGACCCTGTTCCCAGGAGAACTGAGAAGCGAGAGTGCTAACCACTCAGCCACCGTGCCTCCGTCTAAAAATATACGTAGCGTTGGACCAAGAGCGACTTTTGGACCATCCTGTAAAGAGGTTTTTGAGAGAAAAGAAGACGCCATACAAAAGCTTTGGGTAATTCTCTTTCCGGGTACACCCCCACAGGCCTGGAGTCAGATTGCAGTGTACCTTACAGAGAAACAGCGAGTTCTGCATCATTTATAGAAGAGATATTTCTAATATTTATGGACGACTCATGAGTTTGGAGTTTCAGCCTGAAGCTCAAGCACAGCGGGGAAATTTCAGTGTTGCATCGTCAGCTACAGAACAGTAGAAATGAGGAGCACACAGCACAAGATAAATTAACAATAACTCTATAAAAATAAATAAAAATCTCTAACTTTAGCATAATAAAGAAGCAAGTCTAACATTATAAAAAAGCAAGAATTAGGTGTGAGATGTCTAACTTTAGCATAATAAACAAGTCTAACATCTCTAACTTTAGTATAAAACAGAAAAAAGATTAAATACTGTATATTCTAGTTAATATATCTATCTAATATCGCCTCATTAAATATACAGATCTGTTATTATTCATATTAAGTTAAAAGCCATGACCTAAATTGTAATTTTGCCCCTCCCCTGTCAAACAAACCCCCACTTTCCAGCCGCAGTGACAGGTGGCTGTTGGGGACTTGGGGAACGCCACAACAGCTGCACAAAGAATCCCACTGGGCTCTTCAGACCCCGAGTCCCCCCTTAAGTGTGCCGACCCCGAAACCCACCCCCACTGACCGTCCAGGGGGCCCGCCATGCTACAGGTGCTGCTGCTGCTGCTCATGTGGGGAGGGGGAAGTCACATGGGACCAAGACAGAAAAGAATCACTCGCGGTGAAAGATACTGCATGGTTTGAGTTTAGGTCAAAACATAATTAATAGCAATCAGATTAAGATTAAGATTATCCTTTATTCAGTGTTACCAGATTATAAAATTATAAAACGATTTGTCTTTAGTGTAGACTTTAAAGTAGCAATATGTAAGATTTTCATGTCAAGTCATCATTAAAGGGCTCTAATCTGTTTTAATTAAAGGGCCCTAATCTGTTTTAATTAAAGGGCCCTAATCTGTCATAATTAAAGGGCCCTAATCTGTCATAATTAAAGGGCCCAATCTGTCATCATTAAAGGGCCCTAATCTGTCATCATTAAAGGGCCCAATCTGTCATCATTAAAGGGCCCTAATCTGTCATCATTAAAGGGCCCTAATCTGTCATCATTAAAGGGCCCTAATCTGTCATAATTAAAGGGCCCTAATCTGTCCAAAGGCATTAATAAAACCTGCTCTTTTCCAATACTTCTTTAACTGATAACAGTAGTTCAGAGATATTTGAATTTTTAAATAACTTTTCCAGCCTCTAAATCTTGTTTTTGTTTTCATTTCGATGTCCCGCCCTCCACCGTTTCACCAATCAGAAAGTCTGTAATCCGGGCGCCAGAACTCACCGCGTGGAGATAATCTCACTGGTAAAGTACCATGTGGCGCAGAACTAAAAAAGGTCTCGTTATGATTCTCAAATCATTAACGACAAAACAAGGAATAAAACCAGGATTTCTATCTTTGTGAAAAAGGTGTTGGTTATAGATTTGTTGTTGACAAAACTCTTGTCTATTCAGCTGTTATGGTCCCAGCTGGATTCGTCTGCATATCTGGCAACCTGAGTCAGGGAGAGTGGGAGAGGCTGCAGTACCACTTTTGGCCACATTTTTACACACTGCTCCTTTAAGGAAGATAAAACACCATGGAGGTTATTGGTTCTAAATTTTAGTCTTGATTTTGACTTTGTGCGAAAGTTACAGATTTTGAACCTAATAATTGCTTCTTTATGATGCTTAAGTTGGAGATTTTAGATTTGCTTCCTTATTATATAAATGTAAGTCCAGGCTAAAAAACGTCTAATTGTCACATGACTCATTTGAAGATTTTTTTTTTTAATGGTCTTAACTTATATGCATATACACTGTTTTTCTGTGTTATTGTCTGTATTTTAATTGATTGGGAATCACTTTGGGTTGTTATACTGTATGAAATGTGCTTTATACATACATTTGATTGATTGATTATGCCTAAAATAGAGATTATATACTTGCTTCTTTATGATGCTAAAGTTGGAGATTATAGACTTTCTTCTATACGCTAAAACTAGAGATTTCACACTGGCTTCTTCTTTATGCTATAGATATTTTTAGTATAGAGTTATTGCTCCTTTCTCTCCTTATGCCTATACCGTTCTGTACTGGTGATGCAACACTGAAATTTCCCCACTGTAGGACGAATACATAATCTCTTAATCTCAATATTTAAACAACTTTTTTGAACATTGGTCACCTGCTTCCATATGGACTAACACCTCCCATCTGTGACGGTTTGATTCTCTGATCTGTTCTGGAGCAATCGTCACCTTTCTAAAGTCCTCTGACGACTGCTGTTGATTGATTGATACGAAAATACATTGAGTTGTATTGAATTGAACTGATTATAGACTTTGAATAGTTAAAAGTCTCTCAGTGAAACTACCGCTCAGTAATTAGCATTTAAAAACCTCACATCATTTTAATGCAGATGTCGTCTCCTCCTCTGGGCCCTTTATCCTGCCATTTTATATTTACACAACAACAGAATATACCACAGTTTCGTTAGTAAAAGTTTCACTGAGCATTAGTTTAAATATTTGTTCAAACTATATTCATTACTAATCCTTGTACGACTCAGAGTTTACACAAAAATCTAGATATAGTGCTCAGATGCCAGAAATCATCTTAGGTGTAACCAGAGAAAACGTATCTCAAAGTGTTTAGGGCAGAAAGCAGTAGAAAAAGGGCAGATGTCAAGAAAACTGCAACAAAACTACTGCATGAAGATTCTCGATTTAAGAATTCAGCGTCTCAACAAAGAGATGAGAAATTGAAAGGCTGAGGCAGAAACTAGAATCTGTGGTTTCACCCGAGATCTTTCAGAAGATTTGGACGTTTGCAGAAACTCATCAATGAATCCCTGTTTACACAAACTTACATTCATTATGACTAAAATTTTGTATCTTAATTTCAGACTCAAGATTAAATTGGTCCATACAAAATAATAATAATAATGGGATAACAAGAAACGGACAATGCATTACAAAGTATGTCAGTCCAAGCCGATATATAAATGGTAGCGTATAGCAATAATAATAGTACCATATTATTATTATTTTTTAGTTGCTGATATGACAAAGATAACGCATTCTGTGGTCTAAAATAAAAATACAAGCTCTAACATTGGCATAATAAGAAACAAGTATAAAATGTCTAGTGTTAGCATAAAAAAGCAAGTCTGGCGTCAGCAATTTAAGCAAAATAAAGAATCCAGCATAACATCTCTAACTTTAGTGTAGTAAATAAAATGCTTTATACGAGACCAAACAAAGAATTCTGTGGTCTGATTTGTTCACATTTATTACTTTCTTGGCTCTTTTGGTTGGGATAAACTAAATATATTTATGAGACAAAAAAGTTAGATATCCCAGCTTTTTAATTACATGATATGCAGTCCCTTAAAACAACCAATAAATATAAACACGATTGATTTAAATGTATTGAAAAGAAACGTATTTCTTCATGGCTCCAGAAGATTCATATGTTATACATGTTTTATCCACGTATGCGTCGGTGAGCAGACGTTTGCAAGCGATAGTTTTGAGGAGAAACCATTCGCATGATGGGGTCCCGGTTGAGGAACAAAACCCTTGTATAGCACACATAACTTTAACATACAAAACAGTAATATCAATGTCTCCACACACCACACTTTGAGCTAAACCAAAAACATACATTACATCAAACTATTCACGTACGGTTTAAAGACGAACGCCCCCCTCTGTCAGAATGGTACAGTCCAAAGCGTAGTCCTCACATCAGCGCCAGCCCAAACCCATCAGCTGTGCGCAGAGGCAGAGGGCACGCATTCCCGCTCTCGCTTTTGAGTCGATCCTGGACATTTCTATCCTATACTCATATCCACACAATCTCTTGAGTCTCTTGCAACCCTCGGACAACTACCACACACACAAATCGCTGCGTAATTGGAGCCATCTGCGCTGCGTCTTGTCCATTTTGGAGCCGCGGAGGTGCGTCTTGTCTGCGAGTGGAGGGAGAAGTTTTCCACATTGTGCCTTCAGGAATGAAAGCAGAGTCTGAGGGAGGAAGAGGAGTCTCGACGCTTTCTGTTTGAATGAACAAAGGTACTGGGTTTGAGGAGACTGCACCCGGAATGGAGGAACACGCACTACTGGGAGTAACATGTAAGTTTTAACATGATTTCGTTGCTTTTTGTGGGCCATGAATGCACCACGACTTTCACAGTGTTGGCTACGACCACGTAATAACACAATGTACTGACCAGGCGTAGTTCATTCTCAGTCCGGGAATGTATTTTGGCCCAGTTTCTGCAGACATTTGGCATCTGTCTGTTTATAACTGGGATCATTGCAGTGCCGAATATTTCTGTGATGTTGCGTGATTTGTAATGGTAAATGCTTAGGGCGTATACGTGTTGGACGTGGTCTAAACCCCTCATTTTTAAGATCAAGACTGACTTCAACTTGGCAACTTGTCCAAACTAGGGCCTGCGTGCCAAATTCGGCCCGCTGCGTCATTATATGTGGCCCTCGGCTTCAATTAAATTTATTCTTGTATATCCCTAAATCACAACAGTAGTTCTCTCAGAGGAATGAACAAAATCGTTGAAATCGCCAACACAGATCAGAGAATCAAACCGTTAAAACACATGGTATTGGTCCATATGGAGATGACCAATGCCCATGAATGTTGAAAAATGTTGTAGAATGTTGAGGGTCTTCACCAAAGTCCTTTTAGTTAGAACCATGAACAGTCTAACAGACCCTCCTGCATCGGCAAGGAACAACTCTTAAAACCCTGTGGGAGAAAAGTGAGAAACCTCAGAGAATACCTATCTATCTATCTATCTATCTATCTATCTATCTATCTATCTATCTATCTATCTATCTATCTATCTATCTATCTATCTATCTATCTATCTATCTATCTATCTATCTATCTATCTATCTATCTATCTAACACACATGTTTTCTGCAATGAAGGCGCAGGCGTTTATAAGCATATTTTTACTTCTGCCTACACCTTTTGAACTCTATATCACTTTAACGTGGACTTTTTTGTAGCGTCCACTGTATGCATTGCTCTGAAATCAAATACACAAACTGAACTGAACGGCAGCTAACACAAAGTATAACATTTAAAATCCAGTTAGTCAACAGCTGTATTCCAAATGATATATATACTAATATGTTTATACCATCACATTATTCCAGATATGGTGCTAACTCACTGTGGTGTGAATCAGAATAGACTTATCACACCCCATTTTAAAACCCAGATCAGCCCGAGTCCAGTCAAAACAGGTTTAGAATCCATGTTGTTGGCCCTTTAGACAAGTCTGGTGAACTAAAGTGGTCCTCTTACAAGAAAAGTTTAAATACCCCTGATATAATATGTTGTATTCTCTTCTCTATTGACCATACACCAATTCTATCTCCTCGTAATGTTGTTTGAACCCAGTAATGATTCAATAAGGTTATTTTTGTCTTGAGTTAAAGTTTTTTTGGTGGTTCTTTAAAAAGACGAGCTATGAAGATGTCTCGCAGTTCAAAACATGTTAACAAGGTACTAATACATCTAACTTGTCTTCTGAATTAACCCGAAAAAAACATGTTTCTACATTGGTCGACAAGTGGCTTCACACATCACCAAAACTAATTCAATCTC